TTTTTTTGAAGTAGATATTATTTTTTAGTGGTCTTTGGTTACTTTATTCGAATAGTAACTGATATAATATATTATCAAAAGGTAATAGCGCATAATTAATTTTTTTTCTAAGATAAAATTAATAAAGGTGAAAATTATAAATATTACAATTTAGTGAAAGAATGATAAGGGGATAAAAAAAATGAAAACTAGGAAAGAGAAGGGAAGAGAAGAAAGAAAGCATAGACATTGAAGATTATTCGATGGAAGAGATAAAACATAGATACTTAGAGCGAATAGTGGGGGTAGCAAGTCTTTGTCCTAAGAGAAGAGATTCCATAGGCTGGTTGGCTTTTTCAAGAAATAGTTTGCCTAATTCTTTAAAAAAAACATTGAGCTTTGCTACCAAAGGTGATGAGATTGGAGCAGGCGATGGGTTTGAATAAGAAAAAAAGTGTCTATGGAATTATATTTGATAATTTTCCGGTCTGTGAAGGCGAGTAATAAAAAAAGAAACGCATTACCATTACTCGTTACATCTGAAAAAGGGAACGCGTTACCGTTACCCGTTACCGATATTATATATTATTTTAAAAATATTATATTTAATTTATATTATTATATTATTTTTTAATATTTTTTTTTTAAAATAGTATTATTTCATATTCTTTCAAAAATATTATCTCATATTTTTCAAAAATATTATCTCATATTTTTCAAAAATATTATCTCATATTTTTTAAAAATATTATCTCATATTTTTCAAAAATATTATCTCATATTTTTCAAAAATATTATCTCATATTTTTCAAAAAATATTATTTTATTAATAGTATTATGCTCACTATCATAACTTTCTATTTTTTTTAAATTATAATTATCGAAATATCTTATTCTGTTTATAATGATAAATTTTTCTATTAATAAAATTTAAAAGAAATTAACACAAGTCCACTAGATAATGAATATAATTTCAGATAAATATGAAATAATAAGAGGATAGATAGCAAATAATTTATAAATAAAATAAATCATTAAAGTGAAAAATAGTTCAAAGGTTGTGTAACCTTCACAATTATATTTTTTGTAAATATATATATAGATTTATATAAATTTAATGTTCTTTTACTAATTTATTAAATTCATTTTAGGAAAAATATAATTTACAAATAATAGTACTTGCTATTTTTACAATAAAATAAAACCTTAAAATGGTATCCAATTATTTTTTTATTATTCATTATGACTTTTTTGTTGCATATTCATGGATGTGATTTGATTCATAGTAATTTATATATATCTTACATTAATTAAAGGCGCTTAAAATATGATGCATTATTGTCAACAAATATATGATAAACTCGGATAGTAGCTTATAAAATTATTATTACATATTTTCTTCTTATGAATTTCTAACCAGTTGAAAACAAAATTGTTGTCAATATAAAAAAGAGATAAAATGATGAACATTTTAAAATGTTAGGTAAAATTTTTGAATGATTTTCTTTTTATCGTTACTTTTGAGGAAAATCGATACTATGATGAAGAAATTTTGGTCTAGGATATGGCATCTGTTTCATCTGAAAATGTTTTAATTTTAACATATGTTTTTTTTCTATCCATTTAGGATCACTTTTTTTTGAACATTGTATTTTCTATCTTTTAAGTGTAACTTATTTGAACAAACTACATCCCTCAACTGCTAAAACTTTCATATTTAATTTATCTATATGGTGTCTTTAATCTCTGGCATGATATGATAATAACTATTTTTATCGTCCCTAAAATATACAATTAGCACTATATTTTTGTTACATGTTTGTAACATGAAGACCTAAAAGCTGGTCCTTAGTCGGATACCAACTCTACTGGATCACCAAATTTGGAAAATATTATATCTTAATAATCTCCAGCCAGAGAGAGTACCCATCAATCATTACTAATCCGTAAAAATTTAAAAAATTAACATATACACGGTACCATGGCTTGTTCGGCTGTATCCAATAATTTTGTTTAACTTTCGATAATTTAGGTGCATTAACCATACACATGTTGCACCTAAAAACCATTTCTTTAATATTTTTATTCACTCCAGGCCATCAAAAACATCTTTCCATCGTATCTAACATCCTAAATAACCCAATATGCTCCTCATGTAGCACTTTAAGAAAATCTTTTCTTACGTTGAAACAACAATTTGTTCTCCTATAAAAATACAATCGTTCTTAATATTCAACAACTTTCCCAAAACCTTATATACTTTAATCTGCGAATCTCCACTTAACTCTGATTAATTCTGAATCTATCAAAGTTTCTTTTCTTATCAACTCTAAATTATTAATTATTATTTACCATATTTTCCCATATAATATACCTTTCCCTATATAAATATATAATCCAATATTTCTAGTCCCCTAATTCAACTTATAGATATAATTTTTTCAAACTATATAGCCCTCCTAATTCCTTATTTTATTAACATAATGATGCACTATTTCCTATATATGTTTTGTCTAATGTATATTTTTCTGGAAATATTTAGACACTACTTCTAATTCCCTACTTAATCAATTAAATATAATATCCCCAATTTACATATTCCTCTATTTTATAAAAATTATTGTGTATCCCTACTTTTTGTAATCATTATTGTATACAAAAATTAAAATACAAGAACATGATATATTATTTCCGTTTGTAGTAAATTAAAATAAATTGTTAATATTGATTGCATTTAAAAAAAAATGGAAAAATATTTTCATTGGCTATAAACGATAAGGATTCTCTATAATTTTTTTTAATAGTTCTCTACCTTATTTTTACGTACTCAAAATTGATAAAGCATTCATTTGTTTGTATTTTTTATTGTATTTTCCCTCGTTTAAGCGAGTTCTTTCCCTATTTTCCCCAGTTTCTAAATAAATTTTTTTCAAGATTAACTCCCATTATATTTTTTTCCCCGATACTAAATTTATATATATATATATTTATTTTTTTGGAGGTGTTGCATGTTACATGTTTGTAACATGTATTTTTGTTTATATAAAATTACTTTTTTATTGTAAAATGGATGACGTGATATGAAACCATTGATTTACGTTGTATATAAAGGATTACTATTTTAAACTTTTATCAGGTAACTTTTGTAAATTAATAATCGTTATTTAAATTAAATTCTTTATATTTAGATAAATCCCGACGAATCCCTATCAATTCTAACGTACAAATATAGCCAACATCCCCGCTTGGCAACATTTTTTATTTTTAAATAGTGATAAGTTTATTTTTGAATGTAAAATATTTGCACATTTTAAATTATTATAAAGGTTCACCTTCACCCCGCTAAAAACTGAAAATTATAATCAATATTTAAGATATCATTAACTTCTTAATAGGGAGTTTTTTTTAAATATCTTATTCTCTATGAAGATGCCTAATTTTTTTTAAAATATTATTTATTATGGTCCAATTATAATGACATCCGCCAAAATAATTACTCCTAAATGTAAATATAAACTGTTAAATATTCCCAATATTAATAATAATTATAAAAATATAAGGTAATCTGTATTATAAGAAAAATATTTGTTTTTGACATTTATTGATACATTACATTTATTAGACATAATATTGACATTCTTTATATATTATGTATTTTTTTTCAATAATCAATATGAATGACACATGTGTTACATATCATGTATGGTTTAATTTTATATGGTCACTTTATTCAATCGTAATCGATGTTATAAAAGTGTTTACAAATATTTTTGCGTGTTTCAGTTAAATTAAAAATACTGGCCTAAATCAAATGTAATCAAAACTAACGTTACAATTTTGCTGAGAATATAAATATTGGAAGTTGATCGGATTTTAATAGACGTTTTTATGACAATATTGTTATCAAAAGTGCGGGTTTTTGATTTTAAAATATTCAATTTCTTCAATTTGCTGATCACGTCGCATTGCTATCTGGTGAAGGTAGGATGGTTAAATCAAGATTGCATTTCTGTTTCATTGGCTATCTTGAATTAAGAATTATTAGATGATGGCAAGGATATGTCGGTTGAAAGCCCGCCGATATCATTTTTGGAGTTGAGGGGGGTGTGGGCTATGAGAATTTTTTATAAGTGTTCATACTTGAATTGTGGATGCATGTGGAATGTCTGGTATTAAACCCTTCTGCTACTGTATCCTTTAGTAATAAGGATGAAGGATCAATACCAAATATAATATCATCATCATGCATTGATTTAGGAAGGTTTCTATTATTAGCATTAGTTTCCGATTTCTCTATAATGGCTTATATGAGAAACTAGGCCTTGCTTCTTTATAGGGATATCTAGTTTTGAAGGTTGACTTAATCAGAGATTTTATCGCTGGTGGCTTTATATCAAAGTCTATCTTATTTTCACTAGGAAATAATTTAGAATTATATGATAAAAGAAAATGTTAAATTTTATATAAAAATTTTTTACAATCTCTCTAAATATTCAAAAACAAATCCTTATAGATAAATTTGAGCAAAAAAAATTAACTCTTCAACTCTCTTTTTTTTCTTCGGTTTAAGTTTTTCATCGTCTTTATCTAATATATCGATAATAAACAAAAAATCAATTTTTAAATTTTTATAAGACAATACTAAAAAAATCAAAATTAAGCAGCAATCTATATTAACCAATAAATATGATTTATACCATCGTCACACGATGTTTGGTAATCTTCCAAATCGTCTAAAGGTTCAGTACTATCTAAGAGGCTCTTATTTTTTCATTTTCTCCCAATTTTTTCTTTTTTTTCTGATTGGGCCCAACTTTATCGTCATCTTCCATCAAATAATATTTATTGGAATCACTTTCTTTTGTGCTTTAGCCTTTAAGTTTTTCTTAACAGTCGGCAAAGATGTAATAGAATCTGGCACTCTGGGATTTTGACTTCTTAATAGAGCAACTGATGTAATGGTTGGTTGTAATAACCGCCATTTAAACTATTTATGGCAATATTAGCCAAGATTACGTCATTCAGTAATCTATTTCCGCCAGTAAAAAGAGTCCTATGAGATATAAAATTTTCATAAGGGTAAAGTTCCTTAAAGTTCGCTCTATAATTAATGTGGTATCGCCGACAAGAATTTTAGGGGAGTATTTCTTGTAATGGCTAATATATGAGTAAATATTGGGTTCATTTAATAACCTAGGATTGTATTTGTACTGTATTGGTATACTATCACGGACCATAGACGTGGATTAATCCATTCCTCTAAATTCCTAGGTATAACTATCATTTTGGCCGTGTGGTAGCATGCCAAACCCCCTGTAGTTGCGCGTGTAACAATGTTTACGGTTTATAGGGGGGTTTCAATTTCATTTCTTCCAGCTTAAAAGTTAGTAAAAAAATATATAAATAAATAATGAAACTCAAAAATATAAGCATCGTAATTTTACCAGATTCCACTCTATTGTTTTGAAAAAACTATGTGACTTTATATTTTCAAATCCATTTTTATTTGCGCCTAATCTTTTGTTGGGATCCTATATCAATTATAATATGATATATATATATTTATGAGTTAAGGCAGTTATAAAATTGAAATTTAAAAAAATTTATTTATGAAAACTTTAATGAAAATAAATAATAAGCTTTTATTTTAATATATGAATAAACATATCAAAAATACATCACTAGAAAAGTTTAATAAATTAACATTAGATTTTTATGTTTTAAATTCAGAAATTTTTTAATGACTTAAAGCATATTTAGAAAATAAACTTAATTTTATCGTTCTACTGAATTTTACTGATATAATGTTTTAAAATAAAATTAATTATTTATATCAAACTTCTGTCAGAAATCCCCTGATGATGGAGGACGCTTTGAAGGAAATGGAAAGAGGAATTTTGACTCTTCCATATTTAACTAAATAAAATAAAATAAATATTATTATTATACCTATTATCTTTATAATTGAAAAATAAACTTTGATATTTTGAAATCAATGATAATTTATTGAGTTTAAATATTTTTTATTAAATTTCATTAAAGTATAAGTAATTATTGAACCTTGTAAACGATATTTGTCATCGTTGTCAACGGGCTTGGCTTCTAGGCCAAAGGGGAGTTTGCCAACCAACATTTCGAACAAAACTACCCCTAAGGCCCACCAATCTACGCTATAGCCTTTCAATATTAAGTAAATAAATAATTCTAATAGTTTTAAAATTTTAGATAACGACATTTATAAAGTATAAACTTATTTTAAATATGTAAATATTATGATTTTTTTCTGACTAAATCCAGAAGTTATACTAGCACTACGACATATTATATTAGTAGAATTAGAAAATTTTTTTGTTAAATAAAAGGATTAAATGCAATGTTTACTATAATATGGATCGAACAAAACTTCGGGTGCCTTGTAGTAGACAGTCCCGACTCGCAGAGATTTTCGTGTTTCAATAAAACTAGGTAAAATATCCTAGATAATTTTTTTTATAACCGTATATGTTATTAAAGTAAATAAAAGAAGTTGAAAAATATATCAGAAAATTTATTCTTAATATTACAAAATTACTGATTTTTTTAAGAAGATGTTTATATTTTGAAAAATCTTTAAATATGGTTATATCAAATTATATTTTTTTAAAATAAAATAAATATATTAGAGGAATCAATTTACAAACATATATTCTTATTTTTATTTTAAAAATCAAAAACCCATTAAGATAATTTAAATAAATTAGTAAACCCCCATATAAAAATATGTTAAAAATTAATATGATGGAGTTGATTTTTCTAAAATTTATTAATATTATATAATTTTATCTATATTTTGTGCATTTTCTTATAATCAAATTTAAGACATGGTTGAGCCGTGAGCACAGCCAGTGGAAACATAAAAAATAAATTAAATTTTAATACGAGCTGGCACAAACCTTAGCTCGAATAATATATATTTCGTTACTATCTACTTTTTTTTGAAGATTTATTGGCAACTGATATAAAATTAATTAAAAACATATAAGGTTTTTAAAAAATCAAGATATTTGAAAATTTCACTATGAATATTTTTATATAATTTTTATAGATATAAAAAATATAAATTATTAAACTGTAAGTTATTGCTGAATATTATATTCAAAGCCCATGAGATTTATTTCTTAAAAACATATTAAAGATTTCGAGAAACGGGTAGAACAGAACCTGTTATTTAAAATATTGTCCTCAGGCACTGGTAGGTTCAGTACAGAAATGCTGATTTTATTTGTCGATTACCCTTATCTAGAGCAATCTAGTTACATCCTCCTACCCTTAGATTCGATGACTAAATTAAAGGATTTAATTATAAGGTTGTATGTTTATAAGATAATATCCCTATTAGTAACTTCCTCAAATTTCTAAGAAAATGCATCGTAAGCCCAGTGATAAAAGATACTGAATTATACCTTCTTTAATGTTATTTTTATATATCTATTTGGACACAATTACGAGCGCTCAGTTTATCTATTTTATGTTCTAAAATTTTAGTCCTATTTCTGTGTTATTAATTTTATTAAGAAAAAAATATTACCGTGCATAAACCATAATCAGAAAGTTTTAAATGGCCATCCAAACATACTAGAATATTTTCCGGTTTAACATCGCGATGGATGATACCTTGGTAGAAAAATATTAAATTTTAAAAATTTATTTTTTTTAATTCTAAAATTGGTAAATAATTTTACTATAAGAATGTTACCCCTGCTGTGTAGATGGTGGAGTGCTAAGGTTAATTCGGCCGCGTAAAAACGAGCATGGTGCTCGGGTAATTTGTGGTGAGGTTGGTTTTGGAGGTGACGATGGAGGTCTCCACCGTCAACGTACTCCATGATGAAGGCGTAACTGTAAATTAATAGATAAATAATTATCTTTAATTATTATAATTTTTTATATTCTCAATTTAATAAATATATTTATAAATATATAATTTTATATATTTATAAAAATATATACTTCATAGGGGTTTGGTAGAAGGCGAATAACTCAACCATAAATGGGAGTTTTTTAGTTTTATTGAAAGCTAACTTTTCTCTATGAATTAGCCTTTTGCTGTAGGCATCCTATTTATAAAATAACATAGTAAAGATTTAATAATACGAATCAAAGGTAGATAGAGGTTAGCAACTATAAAGCTTAAACATTATATGGTTATTAGAAATTAATAAAATTTGAAGAAGAACTTGATAAGCAAGAGTCAATTTAGAAATATTATTAAACAACATATAAATATTAAATGATTTAATGTAAACCTCTATGTCGTCACGGAATTGCTTCCGAATCACCTTTGCGGCGTATTCCTTCCCATTTGTTTTGGAACGGGCAAGGAAAACCTTAGCAGCTCCACCCTGGCCTATTAACTTTAATAAATCGTAATCACAGCACAAATCGATTTTAGTGTTATAGCTATCTTTCTTTTCTATAGAAGAGTTTTTTAACTTCAAACTTTCATTGAAGATGGGGTAAGCAAGGTTGTCCTTACAGGGATTAACTGACATACCTCTGACAACCCCCTCTACCCCATCTTCACAATCATCCATCTTATCTTTCCCCCTATTCTCAAAACATTTTTTGAAAATAGGGGACTCATCCTTGTTGTCAGCCATCAGTGCTTCAACAACCAGGCCATCAGGCCATAAACCAACTTTTTTATTCCGGCCACCAAAACTTTTTTTGATTCTAGACCAAGTGTCCGCTTTATTATTTTTTATTAAATGTGCAAGAAAAAAAATGGAATTTAACTTAATAATGTATGTAATTAAATTGTACCTTTCTTTGGGGCCGGAATAACAACTGTTTTTTTAAAACAAGGAAAAATAAATTTAAGCATATTTTTTAATAAAAATTTAATAATGATCAAATAAAAGTTAAAATTCCTTGATATCATAATACGTATATTAAAGATTGTAATTTTTAAAATTGACGTATGAATCATAATTGTTTATGATAATATATCAAATCTCTTCTAATTATAATTCCCGTCATAACGCTTAAATTAAACATGCGTCATGATTTATAATAATAATTATTAAGCATGTTGTATTAAGCAGCTACCAGCGGATAAAATGTGAAAAAATAATACATTTTCGTCTTTAGAGTTAATTGTTTCTAACATAGTCGAAAGATATATTTATATTTTCTATACATATTATCTACAATATTTTCATTTAGTAGTGGGAGCTCTGCATTCTAAAAAGCAAATTTTTATAACACATTCATATCTACATTTAATTTTTGTGTTACAAAATATTTCTCCAAATTTATAAAATTTATATGAGGCATTCCACACTTTCACTTTTTTAGAACTTTAATTTTAGTCATCCTATTTTAGAAATAATTTTAATTTATACAAAATTGGTTTTTTTGTATAGAATATTTATGTCAATCCGAGATGTAAATATGAATATTACCAATCCTTTAGATTGAAATCGTTTTATTTGAAAAAACGTCTATTAATTAAACTTAAAATATAATTATATTCAAAATATCCTTATATATTTAAACTTTTCTAAAAACGACTTAATTTATCCTTCACCCTCCTTACCCATCAAGGATAGGTATGCTTCAGAGAGCTGCTTATGTGACACCACTGTTAATTGTTGATCTTATTTTATAAGATTACTGGCAACATTTTCGGAATTTATCTATGGGGCCAACATCGCCCCTCTCCTCATTGGAATTAGGTGTTTGCTTTTTCAAAGGGTTATTTTTATTCTGTTCAATAATATTTTTATGTATAAATTATCTACCTAAGGCCAAAGCATAAAAATGCTCTATGCACTAATCATTAGAATCATGACTGTATTTACGCGACAGGATATGAGTTCTATCTAGCTTTTAATGTATTACTTATTTCTTGTAGGTAAAATTCATTCAAGATATAATAAATTAGAAACTATATTAACGAAAATCAGATTTGTAATATGTACCTTGCTTTCCAATTTTTGTATTTTTATTCTTACTTTACCAAATGAAAGAATATTATAGTTTGGATATCAATATTAAAAATTTTATGAACATTTTATCTATTCATTTTCAATGTAGAGGATGGGGGGTTATCGCATAGATATCAAAAAATAATATATAATATGTAGAAAAAAATAAAACACCAAATTATTTTAGTCTTTTTTTTATATAAATATACATTTAATATTTTATGATTGTCTTAAGATGTCAACCATAAAATATCCTTATTACCTATTTGTTGTCAAAGTAAATAAAATTAAGTTTATATGAATACCAATATATTTTAACGCATATTCTTAATTAATAAAATTGATTTTTATAATGATATATTTTACTTATTAACAAAATTATATATAAAATTTAATTAATTATCGAAAAACTTCTCTAAGATTAAAGTCTCAATTAAGGTAACCATAAAATACCGCATGGCACTGAGAAGAGGCTTATTTTATGACTAAACTATAGCTTAGCTGTACAATTTAACACTTAGGAAGTTGACAATTATCTTATTTTTATCGATTACCATCAACTCGAGTGTTAATGGATAGTCTACATGATTTAACTATGTTATACTCATATTTTTAAAAAATTTTTAAAATCTATTTGACGACCTAAACTATTTTTATGCTATAAAGGTGTAAACCTAATCATACCTACAATTGTAATTATAAATATACATCTATATACATAATCTCTGTTATTTTATATTTATCATTTTCGTATCATTTAAATATATTGCAATTTTTTCTCTCTCTATTATCGTAATTACTTAATGTATTAAAATTACATAACTATATAGTCTATACCTTAAGTTTATTTTATTTTATTTTAAAAAAGATTATTTTGATAATTAAATACTATGCGAACCTAATAATAATAAATAGTCCCGACAATGTTTAATTATCAAAAAATACCTAATTACAATGAGGTAACTGATGAAGCTCTAGAATATTTTTGTTGACCTCTTGGATATTTAAGTTTAAACAATAGACATTTTTTTTTCAAATTAAACGATTTCAATCTAAAGGCTTTATAATATTCATATTAACATATCGGATTGCCATAAATATTCTATACAAAAATGGCACATGTTGTATAAAATAAAATTATTTCTAAAAAGGGATGATTAGCGATACTCGGATGGGAGATCCAAATGAAATTGATACAGAATGAGAGAGCATGAGTAATAAAGTGGAGAGAGATTTGAAGGAGTTTACCACCGAAAAAAAACGTGAAAGCTAAAAAGAAAAAAAAATTAAATTTGTGGGTTAAAAAATTGCTTTCGATCGATAACTTCAGAATAGAGAGCTCCCACTACTAAATGAACACATTGTAGATGGTATGCATAGAGGATAGAAATAATTTTTTTTTACTTATGTTAGAAACAATTAACTCTATAGATTAAAAGGTTATATACATTAGCCGTCTTACCCAACCAGTCGAATAGCATTAGTTTACCATACACCTATTAAACAGCTTATACTTCTAAAATTTTATACGCTACAACTTTATACAGCATGTTTAATAATTATGATTATAAATTGCGTAACGGGAATTATAATTAGAAAAGATTTGATATATTATCATAAACAATTATGATTATCAAAATACGTCGATTTTAAAAATCACAATCTTTGTACGTATTATCAAGGATAGAAGCATTGGGCGGGTTTTGGACCAGAAGCCCATCCATCCAATGTTTAAAAAAAATTTAACCCGTCCATTCAGCCTGCCCATACTTTTCTAAAAAATATATACCCACTCTTTCCGCCTAATAGTCTAAAATTCTTTACCGCCCGCCCATAATTTATGAAAATTTTTCGCTTATAAAATTTATTTATGGCCGTTCTTTTAATTTTTTAAGCATCTAATAAATATTTCAGCATTACACTTCTATAAAAAGTTTATAATTTAGGAACTTAATTTGGGCATAAAAAAATATATTCAATTTAAATTATGGACAATTTATAAGATCAAATAGAAAATTTATTGAATGAATATATATATAAAATTGATATTATATGTAATTATAATGCATAAATAATAATGAATCGACATTCATACAAAAATTTTCTTCTTTGTTTCTAAAACCTTCCAGCAATGCTAAATCCTCGTTCAGAAGAAGCACTAGTTGCAGGAATTGCCAATATTTTTCTTGCTAATCTTGACATCTTTGGCAAATCTCTTGCAAAGTAGGATATCCCTTTGAAGTAAATCCTCTTCCTTAAAGTGAGATCCGGATGTTCAATATGCAAGATATGTAAAACTCTTTTTTGAAGTGAATAAGTAATGATTAATCTGCCATTCCAAAATAATACCGTGCTATTTTTATAATCATTTTCATGCTATTCGGAATAGTTATACAGTTTTATGAACCGGACCTCGAGTTGATATTAGAAACAGATGCATCTAACCATGAATTTATAGCTGTACTCAGGCAAAAGTATGATAATGGTAACCAATTTACAATAGCTTTCACCTCATAAACTTTACAAGACGCTGAAAATAATTATTCTACATTAGACAAAGAAGCACAAGCAATAATAAACGGTGTAAAAAAATTTCATGACTATTTGTGAATATTAAATTTGAACATGCCACAAACCTTTAATAAAGATATATGGTAATAACAGAGATTTAAGCTCAATAACAAAACAAAGATTGGCTTATAAATTATCTTCATGATTATGAAGTAATGTACAAGAATGGCGCTAATAATATAATTGCAGATCTTTTATCGCGAAACCCAATAGAGAAAAATGATATAATAAGCAAAAATAAAACAGTGAGATTAATCATTCCCTACTGACTTTAAAAAAAAGTTTTACATAATTGAATAGGGGACATCCTATATTACATCGATGAAATCCATTACGAGATATTATGTATGGCGGGAACAATTAGATAAAGATGTCGAAAAACTAATAAAGTGTTCTTCACTTAAAAAAAACAATTGTTAATAAAAATGATCTTGACATTGTTAAAATTTTTTCAAATTTTTTTTAACCAGCCTGCCCATTTTCGAAATTATTTTACCCGCCCATCAGTCCGCCCACTTAGATGGGCCGGCGTGCGCGGGTGGGGCCGAAACCCCACCCAATACAGACCTCTAAACAAGGAATTTTAATTTTTATTTGATCATTATTAAATATTGGTTAGAAAATTTGTAATTAATGATACAAAAATTTATATATTATCTTTCTTGCAGTGCATTTGTTTGAGCAAAAGATAGGTTGATCTGGCTGCACCAAATAAAGATACAATTTAATTGTATTCCTGTGTTTATTTCAATTTTTTTCACTTGCACTTTTTTAAAAATAAAAGAAATGCATGGTCGCGAATGCTCAAATGTTTTGGTGGCTTTAGCAAAAGGGAAGGCATTTGGCCTGAAGGCCTAATTGTTAAAGCTTTGTCGGATGACGCCAGAGGCGATTATCTTATAAACTTGCTTTATAAAACATCTATTAGCTGATAAAATTTTAGAAGAATGAGCTGTTTAATAGATGTGGCGGAAACCAATGCTATTCGGCTAGTTGGGTGAGAAAGGTATCGTATTTTCATCTAACATAAGTTATATTTCTATCTTCTATATACATACCATCTACAATATGTTTATTTAGTAGTGGGAGCTCTCTATTCT